AAAAGTAAGAATAATAAAAATATTTGTTTGGTGTTGGTTGTTGGTGGGGGAGGGCCCATTTTTGTTTTGGAGTTTTTTTTTTTTTTCTTTTTTTTTGGGTTTGGTTTTAGGTTGTTTAAAAGGCGGGGGGGGGGGGGGGGGGGGGTGGGTAAACTGAGGGCACCGTCAGCCGCAGGTTTGTTAGTCAACTGACTATTTCCAGCTATCAACATAAAATAAGGACTCTTTACCTTTTTCCACCTATCTATGATGCCGAATACAGTAGATTACATTAACAGCATATTTTGTTCCTCAATACAAATTATAATTATTATAATAATTAATTATAATAATTAATTAATAATGTTGTCAAATTTGTTATCTCGAATGGAACATATCTAATAACCTGCTGTCCTTTACATAACATACAAAACAGACATTGCTGATACCTGAAGAGCTGGCGAGCATTCCTCACTTGGCAGAGATTCAATCAAGAAATCAATATCCTTAGCAGTTCTTGCAATAAGAGTGGCAAACAAAGCAGCATGCCCTAAGTACAAAATTATACAGTTCCATTATAATTCACAGATAATTTATGTCACCTCTCTCTCTCTCTCTCTGTTTCACCAAAACCTAGCAGTTCTTTTCTCAGAAAACTTCTTTGGCACCAGGAGCATTAAACTAGTGCATTTATTAAACTATACAAATAACTCAGTGGCAAGCTTTTATAAATTCAAGAAATGTTCAAAGAAGTAAATTTTGCAAACCTTCTTGAGTAACATCTCCACCATCTCCACCTGATGCTATAAAAAAAGAAGAAAAAAACCAAGTTACTTGAAAAACTTAATATGTACCATATTTCCTTGATAATAGCTGCGGGTGATTATTTCTTTTTTTGCATCAAACGGGGGTGATTATTCAAAGGAAGGCGATAATTCAAGGGAGGCAATTATATTATTTTAAACATTTCCATCAAAGGGGGACGATTATTCAAGATGGGCGATTAATAGAGGGACGGCTATTATTTGAGGAAAAACGGTACTTCATTTGGTAAAATCCTTTTACACTATATTACTGTACATATATCTGTTCTAAACTCACATTGGTCAAAGCCAGTAAACTTTCTTCCAGGCTGGGCTGTTTGTTGCAATATGCCAACACTGTTACAAAACTGATCTGCAAGCTACAATACAAGAGGAACTTGTTTAAGGCACTCAATTCAAAGTAAAATCAAAGGCTTAATGAAAAAACACACACAGGGGAACAGGAAAACAAGGGGAGCAAGAGGAACAGGAGAAAAGGGGGAACAAGAACAGGGGAACAAGAGGAACAGGGGAAACATGGGAACAATGGGAGAGATACTGTGGGATGAAGCTTTTATGGTTAGAAATACCGTATTTATTTGAATAAGCGCCCAACCTCGAATTAGCGCCCACCTCGAATAAGCGCCCATCCTAAAGGCAGAAAAAGATAATAAGCGCCCAGCCTCGAATAAGCGCCCACCCCCTCCTCCCCCCAATCAAACTCAAATAAGCAATCACCCCCACCCCACCCAATTAAGTCGATAAGTTCCAATAAGAGACTTCCTTGAGGACGGAGTTTTCTTCAGAGTATTTTACAGAAACCTTGCTTTGTTACTTCTTCGCGTTTTGTTAGTAGCATTTATTATTTTGTTGCAAAATAAACATACTTCACTTGCTGAAAATGGTGAAAATTTAATAAGCGCCCAGCCTCGAATAAGCGCCCACTCTCAAGGTCCAAAAATTTAATAAGTGCCCAGGGCGGTTAATCGAATAAATACGGTACGTTAAAAAATGGTCAATCTTGATGTTTGGCCGTTATCTATAGAAAACGAAGCGCTTTTGTCATGCAATTTCACCTTACAGTAGTTTCAATCTTAAAAATGAGTGTGATAGACCATGGAGATAGCTCAAGCCGATTGCAGTTGGAAAGAAGGATTTGATTAGTATGTATCTAGGCACTCTCGTTCGCGGTTTTGTAGTCATTTTGGTCTCCTTTACAAATGAGCAAATAGTTTTTTACGGCTAGATAGATTTCTTCAAAACACTTAAGATTCTTGATCTTAACCGTCCTTTTATATAACCTTGTAGTTTCGAGATTATTGATATATTGTAAGGCAATACAATAAGGGGTACAATTCGCTAGTTTTTTTTATTGGAAGTTTCGTGTTTACAAGTGACACAGGCACACAGCAGGCTACTTGATAGATTAGCGCTGATCTATTAATCCTGAAATATCAAGTCGCATTTTACCCTACGATCTGAACATTTTTCTTCCTTACTTAAAGAGAATTTCATTGAACGCACTATGAAATCGCTTCAGGTTATGTGCGTTAAAAAAAGAACAATAATTCACCTGATTTAGAGCATCTTGTAACTGAGTGATTCTGTCCGCCATGTTTGTTTCTCGCTTGGTGACCAAGCAGCCCTGAAGTCACTCTGGTCCGCCCCTGAGTGGAGTATATAAGCAGACACGTGCCGACTTTCTTTCTCTGCTCGTTTGTCCAAAGAAGACGAACTTGTGAAAATATCTGATATAAATCTTTCAGCGTGCACATCGTTTCGTGTCGATTTGACTTAAAAAGTGAGTATTAAAATTTCTACAGTGTTGTCAGAAAATAATTTACCATAAATTAGTGGTGAAGTGTGAAGGAGAGCTACTGCAAACGTAGTTTGTCGTGAACGCATGCCTTAACGTGGGCCGCCATTTTGTAACTTAAAAATTTTAAGACTTTTTAGGCCAGTAATAGGCTGAGATGGGAGGGAAGATATTGAAATTATATTTTTCTTTCCATCGGAAAAATGATCAGGGTGTGAGCGTAAAGGAAAAATCGTCAATGATACCCCAGTGAACACATTTTGTTTTACTAATAGTTGAGCCTGTAAAATTATTGAATATAAGCTGCAGAATAAACGGTCACTCCATCTATATTTCACTCAAATAAGAACAGGTCCATCGCACTTTGAGTTGTTCTTCAAAGCGTTCCAACACTCGTAAATGAGGTGGCTGGGTGTTCTGCTTTTTTGTCCTTAGAGCTACAATCCTTTAGGCCAGTGTCAGGGATTGAGAACTCTTGCTGGTTCTAACAGAGGAAGTCAACAACTTTTGGCAATCTGTGCAACCTCAGAAATTCAAAACAATAACCTTTACAACTGGTTAAAAAAATGGCAGCTATTGTGCTCGCACATTCAGTGTACCTGAAACTGGCCAGAGCTCTCGTGGTGCTGGCCTAAAGGATCACAGCTCTGCGGACGACAATGGGTATTATGTAGTCGCTCCAAAGATGGTTATCTTGTTAAACCCACATGCAAGTCCTAGGATTTCATGGCAATGATAGTTTCTGGTACCCGTGTCATTACCGTGGTCTTAAAATAACTGAACAGAAAAATAGTTTGCCAGTGTCATTTTCACCCTTAGGGATCAATTTTCTAAAATTCACCATTTTTCCACTCAGATTTTAGTTATGAATTGGCCTATATATATTTACGAAACTAAAACATTGATTAGCATCTTGCATCTTTCGATTGTTTGTCATCTCGAATTGTTTCCAAAGTGCATTGAACGTTTTATGGCTTCCAGGACCTAGAAGAAAAGTATATGACTTCCAAAAATTGAAAACATTTAAGAGGTGGGTTCCCATGAATTTTGACGGAACCAAAAAATTGTTATGGATGGTTTCCTATTGTCTCTAGGCACGGAAATGAAAAATAACATTGTTTTCCATGGGAATTGAAATCCTGGGGCTTACAAATGACTAGCTCAAGCTGTCACACATGCTTGAGTTTCAAGGTCAATAAGAATAATTATCTGTTGTAATATGTATAGATATTTGTGTAAATCAGTTATAAACCATTGGATTTAAAAATGTGGTGCCTTATACAAGTACCCCGGGTGCCAGAGCCTTTTCATGCATGGTTTCCAGTTTCAGTTAAGTCTTAAACAGTGACCCGCACAAAAAGCCTCAGGACAAGAGCGCCATCCCTTTGATAGCGTCGAGCCAATGATAACCCCACTTATACCAAATCATCCAGAATCTGGATGTTTTGTTGATTGGTTCCTTGGAGATGTCGAATGTTTCAAAGGCAATGATTTTATTTCAGTCGAAGTAGGCACATGATCAGGACGTGGTTAGTTTGAAGGTGAAAAAGATCAAATCCAAACAATCCAAGCACACTTCGCGTACGTTGACAGATTAGAGACATGGTCATGGTCCATCTATCATGGTAAATCAAGGCCCTATGCACCAGAGGTTTTTTCTAGCATTTTTGCCGCTTTTATCTTTGACCTTTGTGCCAAGACGCTTTTTGCACGCGAGAAAGAAGCTCCGGTATACAAGTGTCACTCATGGGTGTATTAATTGATCTCATCATCCTGATGAAAATCAAGCCTATGTGCTAAGAGTTTTTAGTGGTTAATCCTAACGTAAATTTAAAAAGGTGCCTTGCAGGGGTTCTCGTTTCTGTTATCTTTGTAGTATCTTTAAGGGATGGTGGTATAAAAAAGGGTAGAGTCATAATAGAAATTTGTGAGAGTCAAGGAAATGTGGGCTACTAGTCATGATTATAGATTGGGCTGTGAAAAGTGTCACTAAGTTTAGCTCTGTTATGTGATAAAGGAATAATAAAGAATATTTCGCAGATGCGTTACGTGGCCGCTTACCTTCTAGCCACCCTTGGTGGGAACAAAGATCCATCTGCCTCAGACATCAAGGCAATCCTTGAAAGTGTGGGTATTGATGTTGACTCCGAAAGTCTTGATGTGGTTATCAAGGAACTGAGTGGCAAAGATATCTCTGAGGTAAGGTGTTTTATTGTTTTATAGTAAATAAAAACAATTTTTTTCTTGTTGCATCTGCAGGGTTGACAGAAAGTTTTGAAGTAGACAGCTGAGTTGTTTTTTGTAAGCCGCTAGTCCAGGGATATTTACAGCTGATTTCAGTGTTGTGTATACACCTATTTCAATTAAGGTTGCTCCCGTGAACCATGTTTCATAGCCTGCAGTGCTCTATGGTAAACCCTATCGCAGCGGGAAGTTTAGACAGTTTAGTCTTGATCACGTTCATTGAAATAATGGAGACCATTTGTGAAAAGGCGTTCAAATAGCTGCTAAAATTCTGAAGCATGAGCGAGCTGAAAAAATTCATTTTTAAAATCTCATAGTAAAAAATTAAAGCCTCTTCTTTAACAACATTAATATGAAGAGGGTTTTACCGCCTGATTCAGATGCGTCTTTGCATGGGCCAGAATGCTGGTTATTTCAATAAAGCAAATCAACGCTATTCTTTTTTGTTTTATTCAGATTTAAAAAAAAAAAGGCCTCAAAAGTAGATAAACACGTAATGTTAAGTTATTTATTGTTGTTCAACAAACGCCTTGAAGTTGCTTTTTTTAATTTCCATCCAAAATTCCCACGTGCAAGGTGCCAAGCAAATTCGTTGAAAATTTGCAGCATTTGCATATTACCACAGAGAAAAACCTAACCTCAAATCACTGTCTTAAATTAAAAAGCCAAGGATTCAGTCTTTTGAAATACATTGTCTTAACGTTCTGCTGACATAGCATAGAAGCGTCAGCAACGTTTGCTTTCTAGGTTTCTAGGCTCGTTGCGGGCACATAAATTACTAGACTTGCTACAATAATGCACCGCGGGCTGTGAAACACGGATCATACATCATTCTTCTCTGAAGCAACCTTAATTGAAAAAGGTGTACACCCTGATTTTTAGACATGATTCGACGGTCATGATTCGACCGAGAGGTTACCACGCAGTACAGTATTTTACCTTGATTATCCTACAGGAATTAAAGCACAGAATCTGAAAGTTACTTTAATGATAGCTCAAATGTTTCTATATTAATTCAGAAAAAGTGGACCATGATCCATAATTTGTTCCCCTTTTTAGACAACAGCCTCTCATACAAGTCACGCAATCTAATCTCAATACATGTTATCGGGCGTGTGCATGTCTTGATCAATAAGTTTTTCGGCTCTTTTCTCAACTTTTTTTGGACTTCTTCCTTGATCTTTAAAGAAATATCATATTTTACCCTTTTTCAATAACAACAAATGTTGCTTTCTTTTATGTCTGGTTTTCTTTATTTGCACTCACTAGGGTCATAGGTGGAGGACCGAACATTGTGATATTTTTCAATGGTCGACAAAACAACTTTCAAACTCTCAAGCAAATTCTTTCACAACGGCAGACTGATCAATTTATCTGTTGATTTCTTCTGCAAAACGTCAGGTTTTGGTGTTATTTTTTAACCATGCAGAAGCTAAGTAAGGACGGAAAGGTACCAACTTGAAGAAATACAAATTTTCTCCCTGTTAACAAAATTTGCATCACTGTTACATGTGAATTGCGGGCGGTATTCACTAACGGCAAAATACCGAAACCTTGTCATATGGAAGAACTGACTAAACGATAAACCATTGGACTATTTCGCTTTTTGCCATATTGATAATATTTCGTCCATTATGAAATCGCCTACAGAAATACATTCGAACTCGGCAATCGAATGCCAGGTATCACATGTTATCATAATTTCTGCATCATGTCGCCGCTTTCCAGGCAACACAGCTTTCCTCTTCAGGTAAAACGCATTTGTCGGGATTCTAGCTTCGTTACACTTTACGTCCTTATGTGCTAAGCTTTCCTTGCCAGCCAGATTTTTCCCTCACTGTTTCGGATCGCACGGCAGAACTCTCAATTATTTTTTCAACCGTTTACGTACTGCGAAGTGATAGGTCACTTGATTAGTGTCGAATCATGACAGGTTGAATCATGACCGGCGAATCATGTCTGAAAATCCGGGTGTATACATAGCAATGAAATCAGCTGTAAGAAACTCCGTTTGTAAAGAAATGCCAAGCAGAGTAGCCGGCCAATACTAACCAAAAAGGCGGCTACTTTTGACAACCCTGCATCTGTGCTTATTGTAAAGAGAGAGTTAATGTTTGCTTGATATGAATACCAAGCAAATGAAACAACTTACAAATGACTTCACAGTCACATTTTTGGTTCTTCTCTGAAGTCCTATTCTCATTTATTTTTTGTTTTGGCCTATTAAAATGTAAAAATTATGCTTTAATCAGTTCTTTCAAAACAAGCTGGCGACCGCTGGTGTTCCACCCGCTACTTGATTGTACAGATTCACCTAGCTTCATGGGCCTTGCTGCTCCTTGATTGTAACAGCGGCTTTCCAGAGTCAGCCGCCTACTTCAAAATATTTTGATTCCCCTGTGTAATATTAAAACCTTTTTGGTTGTTAGTTTGTAGTTTGTGAAAACAACCCAAATGAGCACTCTGAGATCCACAATTCATTAGTTTACTGCTCTTGACTATTGTTGTTGTTGTTGTTTTTTTAGGTCATTGCTGAGGGTAAGACCAAGCTAGCATCTGTTCCCACTGGTGGTGCTGCCATGGCCGGTGCAGCAGCTGGAGGTGGTGGCGCCCCTGCTGCCGCTGCCGATACGAAGGAAGAAGAGAAGAAAGAGGAAAAGAAGGAGGAAGAGGAGGAGGAGTCAGATGATGACATGGGATTTGGCTTGTTTGACTAAAAAGCTGAAAATAAAACTGTTGTATACTCAAATCTTGTTGATTGCTAATAACCATGTCCATTCAGTAAGTGGTCACACCATGTGTGATAGCCCCCTCCTTCACCCCCAACCGTAAGCCTCCTCATTTATAAGCCCTCTAAAACACCTTACAAATTTGTATTATCCCACGGGCACATGTCTCTAAAGTCCCGATAACTTTTAGGGACCGAAATCAAATATCCAAGTTGAAATAAAAAGAATAAGAGTGCAGGTCCTGGCTAGCAAACTACCCCATTTTGTTTCATTGACTGATAGTTTTATCATGTTAAGTGCAACTATTGAAACTTTCAGCTTGCATGTAAACAACAACAGCTCTACAGGCCCGTTAATTATCGGGAGTTTTGAGAAACGGGCCCCAGGGCCTATAAACGAAGTTTACGGTAGTTCCTAATTAATTTGTGGCATAACAAGAGTGAAATAAATGGTTAATTTTGCCCTCGCTTAGCCTAGGTAGCCTGTGTACAGATGCCCCTTCCCCTCAAATAATCTCTCCCCAATTTTTTCTGAGTGGAGGGGGCATCTGTACACAAGCTACCCTTAGCCCTTTTGTCTCGGGCGCGTGACCATAAATAAGCAATAATAGTAACGTATAACTGAGCTTTTATGTGAGTTGAAAGACTGCAGTACGCCCTTGTTCTTTTAGGAAGTTGTGCTGTTCTTTCTCGCTCCGCTGTGAGCATATTCCTTGGTTATGCTCGGGTTTTAAAAATGTGTATTTTTAACTTGTGTAGATTACACCACAAATGAAATATGATTGTCCCTTGACCATCTGAAGACTTGATGAACATACCCTTCATAGTGCTTTGGTGTTTTGGTGAACCTCTGACTTCATTGGTTTGAGTGAGCTTTTTCTTGGTCAATTTCCAAGAATGTTTTGGTTTCCATAGCGCAGTATTGAACAGAAGAAGGGGGAATCAGATGATGATGTGGGACTGTTTGACTAAAGAGCTGAAAATATAACTGGTGTATACTCAAAATCTGTGCGCTGACATTTTTTTGATTAATAACTATATCAAAAACAGTTGACCTCCAGGTATCGGACATATCTTCATGTTACTAACACGAATTACCACACGCCTAGCCAATCTATTTCTATAAAATTTCAGCCGGGGGTGGGGGGAGGCGGAATTACAACCAAACCTCTCTTTAAGGACACCTGCATATTGACATCTCTCATTATCACGACTGATGTCACACGTGTGAAATAGTTGTAATCAAGGTAACCCGTGGTGATTCAGTAGATTGATGATTGATTATCAAGATTGAAGGATCTGGGATCTGCACATTGATAGATGTCACAGACTCGGGGTGGATCTGTAGAACGACTGATTCTGCCGATCCTCCTGGGAAATGCTGGGATCGGTGGATCCGTAGGTCGATCTACAGATCTACTGATCTGAGGAGAGTTTCCTCCTCTCTCCCTCTTCCTTCCTTCTCCCTTTTAGTTCTTTTTTCGCTCCGCTCTCCTTTTCGGGTTATTTCGGGATGATTCGATCACAGTGGGATGCCTGTTCAAGTGTCCCACAATCCACTCTGGCTTTGCCTCAGTTTTTGCTGAAAGACTAGAAACCAGTATTTATGAATGTGGACGCATTGTGGACGCATATGGACTTTACATATGGACGATGTTGCATTGTCCATTTCTTCATCTTTTAAAGAGACATTGAACAGATTTTGTGCATCGTGAGGTAAGCAGCCTTTGTCATTTATCCCAGTGGCATTAAGGTCAAATTTGACTGTTAGCAAACCAAGTTGAATACGGTAGGACCAGGATCGGAACTCCAAGGCACCTGGTAACGTGTTTTTCATTGTTTTCCCCAACGTCCTTGAAGAGAATATTCTGAGTGTCACTGCTGGTGTACTTTTTTGTCCCTGCTTTTAACACACAAAGTTAATTTCTCTTGATTATGTCTCGGTGGCTTTTGTTTTGTGTGCTGATTTGATATTAAAAATATCAAATATGCAACCATGTTGATGCTGGCGTACGCCCCTTCCCCACCCCCCCCCCAAAAAAAAACAAAAACAAAAAAACCCCGCCATTTTTAAGTTGGCTGTTAGGTTGTGGTCGTTACCATTTATTACATACGTATTTACATCTGAAAATCTCAAATGAGTCTTGCTTCTGGCACAGGCAACCCAGGCTGGTCACACACGCCACCTGAATTAGTCTGCGGCATGAGACTTTGAAATCAGTAAAAGCCGAATTTTGAGCAATCTAGACCTGTTACTGAAAATCCAACACAGGGGAACTTACAGTGCGGTATGGTTAAAATATTATGTATGTTTTAATTAAAAAATTATATAATAATATTTATTAATATATTTGAAAACTTTATATTTTCAATGGCTGTGATAAATTGTTCAAGAAGAAAGTTATGACTTAAATTAATCTTAAGTAAAGTACAGTGTCAGAATGCTTCTTAATAGTCCATTTTACAGTGTCTTTAAATTCAATCCTGAAAACTAACCTGATTCTTAGTAAAACACTCAGAATTGCAGGCACACAGGCCGAATACAAGCACAATGACCCCATCTTTTTATTGCAGTTTTTGAATGTCTGTCCTTTTTAGTGCTAAAAAGGAATTTACCGCTCTCCTGAATTGATATATCGTAACTGCGTGTTAATATGTGGTGCCTGTAAATACTTTTTTACAGGGGAAACTTGACACCTCTACATGGCTTCCAATCATTGTAAGCTCTTTAAACATCTAGTCTCTTTAAACATCTGCTAAGGTTTTCACAGCAGACATTCAATGCTGCTTATTGTTCATGAACTGCTATCCTGTGCGCAGATGATGTTTTCTTTATTTTTTACAATGTACATCACTTGGCAAGCACAGAGTGTGAGAATGAGCATGAACAATGAGGGAAAAAAGAAAGAATATTTTCTTTTTCCCCTGCCCCCACCCTCCTTCCATTAATGGCCAAGAAATCCTCCTTGCTTTTATATTTTTATGCACATTCAACGGTCTCTTAAGAGGAAATAGGGGGTCTATGAACAGGCTAACTTGTGCAGGGGTACAAGATCTTTGAAATCATATCTCTGTATCATACTTTTGTGTACTTTGTAAGGGCCATTGTAAAAAAGTCTAAGGTCGTATTGGTATGAACGTCAATCAATTGATCAATAGTTAATGCTTACATGTTTGAGTACAGACTGTATTTCATTTATCTCATTGGTTAAATGCTGTTGACATGAATATGAAATTTAGTGACAAACCCCATTATTTAATGATTTTATTTAATGTTAATAAGAAATTGGATAATCTAATATTAAAGGCTAGATCTACCACAATGCCTTTCCTTTCACTTTTTCACTGAGGTTTTTCATGCCACTTTTTATTTTTCTTGAACTCCAGAGATAAAGTGTGGTCTATTGAAAGAGAACATACAATGTCCAAGACCAATGCATCAGCAAGAGTGAGCAATCCAACTTTATCAAAGTATGTGAAATGTAAAAAGAAAGAATACAAGTGCAAGTATTGTCAAAAGTGCTTTAGGCAACCATCACATTGCAAGCGGCATGAACTTACCCACACAGGAGAGAAACCTTATCAGTGTACGCACTGCAACAAATGCTTTGGGCAGTCATCACATTGCAAGCGGCATGAACTTACACATACAGGGGTAAAACCTTATCAGTGCAAGCATTGTGATAAGTGTTTTTCACTGCCATCACATTGCAAGCGGCATGAACTTACTCACTCAGGGCTGAAGCTCTATCAGTGCCAGTATTGTGAAAAGGGCTTCATTGATTCAACACATTGAAAGGAGCATGAATGTATCCACACAGGAGTGAAACCTTATCAGTGCAAGCATTGTGATAAGTGCTTTACAGTGTCATTGGATTGCAAGCAACATGAACATACCCACACGGGAGTAAAACCTTATCAGTGCAAGTTTTGTGATAAGTGCTTCAGCTGGTCAGCAAATTGCAAGCGACATGAACAAACCCACACAAAAGTCAAACCTTATCAGTGCAAGTATTGTGAAAGGTGCTTTAGCCAGTCATCAGATTGCAAGCGACATGAATTTACCCATACGGGAGTGAAACCTTATCAGTGCAAGTATTGTAATAAGTGCTTCAGCTGGCCATCAAATTGCAATGAGCATGAACGTATACACACAGGGGTGAGACCTTTTCCGTGCAAGTATTGTAATAAATGCTTAATATCGTCGTCTGATTGCAAGCGACATGAACTTACCCACACAAGAGAGAAACCTTATCAGTGCAAGTACATGTATTGTGATAAATGCTTTTCATCATCATCGGATTGCAATCGACACGAACTTGTCCACAGAGGAGTGAAACCCTATCAGTGCAAGAATTGTGATAAGTGCTTTAGCCGGTCTTCAGATTGCAAGCGACATGAACTTACCCATACAGGAGTGAAGCCCTATCAATGCAAGTATTGTGATAAGTGTTTCAGTTGGCCATCAAATTGCACAGAGCATGAACGTACCCACACAGGAGAGAAACCCTATCAGTGTAAGCACTGTGAAAAGTGCTTTATATCATCATCAGCTTGCAAGCGACATGAACTTACACACAAGAATGAAAACTTATCACTGCAAGTACTTAGTGTATTCTGTTAAGTGCTACAGCTAGTCATAAAATTTCTATCCTGTGCGCAAATGTTTCCTATTTCCTTTGTGGCTTGAGGAAAAGGAAGCTTTCAAGTTTGAAGCAAAGGAAGTAAGAGACATCTGCATGAAGGTATCAAACTGTTGATGACATGAACTTATCAACACAGGAATGAGACTTTATCAGTGCATGAATTATGAAAAGCACTTTAAATAGTAAGTCATCAGATTGCAAGCAGAATGAACTTACACACAGGTGTGAAACCTGATGAGTAAACGTTGTTAAGTGCCTTACGTATAGGGTTGTCATTGTGGAAGTTACAGAAGGAAATCAACTTATATGAAAAGTTAAAAGTTGGCATAAAAATCACATGATCAGGTCCTTCAAAAGGTACTCCTGTAAATTTCATATAGGTGTGTTCCACCCTGGGTTTTAAACTCTGACTCTTTTTAACCCTGTAAGCCCTAAGAGTGATTAGCTTAAATTTTCTCCTTGTATCAATGCTTTGTAAAGTAAGGTGGTCATGAGAATTACGGACGTGATCACACAAGATGAATTTGCTTGATATTTTATCAACTTCTCCCCACTACCTCTGTAGGAAATGAGAAGGGGCAACAAATGAGATTTCAAATTTTCTTAGGGTTTAAAAGGTTAAGATGAGTCAAAACGAAAATTGATACCAAACCAAACCTGAAAAATGACATCCTATGGAAGGGAAAAACAAGAACAAAGAATTTAAAGGCAACACGTAAACCTCCATTGAGGTGTTTAGATAAAGTTTTTTGGAGACCTTTTCATTTTTCAATCGCCTTGAAAGTAATTTTGTCTTTGTCAGATCACTATTAAAATTTTTACCACTGACAGACTTTAGATTGAAGTTTGTCAAAATGTAGTTTTAAGTTAAATTGATATCACTATGACAACAATGAAAGTTTCAGACATTATTTTATACATCATATAGATTATTTGATGAGGTTTAAAAAGAATCCTGTTGAGCCTTTCCAGAGATATACAAAAAGGCACAAACGCTACTTAAGATTCATTTGAGTTATTTAGACCTTTTTGATTAATAAATTTGTCATGATTAATGATTATATAATATTTGAAATTTATTTACTTTTTATTTGAATACAGACATACGGAGTTTTTTTACTTCTCACCGAGCTTAGTTTCTAAACTCTGCACTATAAATTCCTGGTGTTTTCAGTAGCAGGTCTGGAAGTGCAAAATTCGGCTTTTATTGATTTCAAAGTTTTTTGTTTTTTGTTGTCATGGTGATATCAAATTTACTTAAAAGTGCATTTTGACAAACTTCAATTCATATGCAGTCAGTAGTGAAAATTTTACAGCGATTGGACAAGGATAAAATAACTTGTAAGGGATTTAACAATATCGGTATGGCCTCTGAAAAACTGTATCAAAACACCTTAAATCACTCTCTTAATAATATTCTAAGGGATTCAGTTTTGGCAGATGATTTTTTTTTTGTGTAACTGGGTATTTGCATGCTTTAAATAATAAATTGTAGGTACCCTACCTAAGGATCAAACCAGGAACAAAAAGCCAACATGGGCAAATATGATACCCTTGAAGTATCAAGAAGTCCCTAAAAAACCATACCCTTTTGGGCAGCAAATACCCATCTAGCCGGGCTAAGTACCAGTGCATCAGTTGTTTCTTGTGTAATATTCCTTCTCTACATAGTGTTTGTATCCAAAGAAATCTACTAATAATGGTCCAGTCTTGCTAAATTACGTTACATTACTAGTTTGTTCAAAGGCTATTTTACTCTTGAAAATTTGCCTGCCATTGACAAAGCTTACATTGGATTATCTTGTAAACTTACTTCTAACCTCTTTATATATATGATTCTTGTTTTGTTGACGCCATTAAAATTCTAGCGTTTGTTTACCCTAACAAGTAGATGTTGTGGGTGTTTTAATTCGAAAGAAGTTATGCTCACTTCAGGTTTATCTCTGGTTTGCACATTGGAAGGAGTGGACTTTGTAGTTATCGCCAAGGAGCCAGCTTAGCGATGACGCGAGTTTTTATAGTTGCTCTTTTCAGTATCACTATATATCCAACCTCACTTCTCAGAACGGTGACAACCAGTTTCCCTACTTGTCGAATCTGCTACCTCCTAGTTTTCGTTTAATTTGGCCTGGCCCTTCGCATTTGTGCAAAGGTGCAAGCTTTGGACTTTGCCAATAGGTAGCGAACTTTGCATGTAGGAAGCAAACTCGAACGTAGCGAATTTGACAAGCTGCGAAACCAGTGAAAAGCTTCAGGACCCTCTTCAAGCTTACACTGTTAACTTCCGCTTATAATCCCTTCCCCCACCCCAGACGAAGTTGTATAAGCCCAGGCTTATAAACTAGAAGGGCTTATTGCCCCGTTTGAAGCAAGTTTCAAAGCAGTGCTGATGAAAATAATTTTTGAATTTACTCGCTTTTTTAAGCTTCCAAGCTTAAAGAACGTCTTAAAAAAATAAAATTATTTCAATAAAAGCTAGAGGGGTCTTATATATAACCTACTTAAGAACCCGAATAGAACCTGACCTCGCCGATTTTTCAAAGTCCCCGAGCACACACATAAAATTTCAGCCCCTCCTCCCCCTCAACATCTTCATACTCCCTTCTCTATAGTCAATGAACGTTTGGCCTTATCCATGTTGTCTCCATACAGATATTATCAAAAGTAATCGAAAAACAATCCTAAACAGAACGACTAACAACGTTTAAAATAAGTACAAGTATGTTTTTGACTATTGAAAAAACTTTTTAAAACCACCACTTCATGTCAACACACTGTAACTACACTATCACTTCATAACCACATTTGCACGTACACAACTACATCAGTGCAACAACTAAAATCACTTTTACCTCCCAAAATAATTATTTTTTTGTTACTTCATATTAAATTCTACGAGAAACAAGTTTCACTGATTCACAAACTACAACCATTATCTTACCAATTCACGTCCAATATAACACCACGCCTTTCCCTTTTCGCATTTCAACTAAACCCTAAAATATACAACGCTACTGCACTACTCACACATCTCTAATACACATAAAAAAATGTCATACACGCGTTGAACATCGACGCCCAAATATACGCTCCAACAGCGTCTTGTTTGATAAGCAAAGAAATTTGCATGTGATGAACACGATTTTATCGGCCAATCAGAGATGGTTATTTTCGGATTCTTCCAGAGGTTAGTGATCGCCGTCGCTGTACAAAAGGATCGCGGCCTCTGGGAACGAGTTTGGATGGTTTTTGGGTTTAAAAAGTGGCACAGCAGGCTTGACTTTTACTTTATGCTTTCTTTCCTCCCCTCTTTTTTCGCTTTTCTTGCCTCATTTTTTTCTCTTTCTGAGCATCTAGTAGGCTTCATTTTGGTGCGAAATGTTTTTAGGAAAGCTTTTAGAATCTTAGGATTAGATGAAAGAAAAAGTGGGTGGGTGGTGGAACAAGATTTTCATGGAAATTTTCAGGTCAATGTTATATGGTTACAATGTTACATTGGTCTACTGACAGCCTGAGCGGCCTTGACAAGAACACATTTGAACGTAACTCTACAATCTTAGAAAAAAGAAAGCAAAGTGATGCCTTTTCTTTTCATTTACTGCTGATAGAAAAGTAGTTTAAAAAGAGAGGCAAACGGGTGTGGCAAGGACTGGGGAAAGAGGGGTAACGAATTATGAGTGTTTTTCGAACGTTTCAAGACTAAATCAAACCAGAACCTAAATCCTCGCTGATCAGGGCAAATTCATTTTCCTCTGGATTCTCATTAAAACGGTTAAAATATCTTTTCATAAATCAACGTGTAAACGAACATGCAAACGGATTCAATCCGTGCTAAGGTCTTTGTTTAGCTGTTTTCAATCATACAAATTTAGAGTACTTTAGCTCAGTCCTTTTGAAGTCGCATTTTTATAGTTTTTTTCTATTCCTTGATAATGGCGTCATGATGTCGCCGAAACGTTGCAACATTGTCTCCGGCGTTACTTTTTAAATGCTTATTTTTTTGGGTTCCGTTTCTTGGTATAGAATATATGCGTTACCATTCATTGATTATTCTTTGGCATGTGCTTTAAATTCACTGTAAATTGTAAGAGATTGTAACCGCCAAACCTCAACAAAATTAAGAAACTATTTCAGTGAAAAAAATGGTTTTTATGCAGGTCAGTTTTTGGCCTTAATAGTTGCCTTTTGGATTATAAGGCAACTGACACAACGTCTTTGCTTTGAATTACATTTGATACCACATGAATATTCAATTAACCGGGCCTTCGTTGTCACCTTTTCCACGAAGGAAGAACATGGCGACCGAAATCTGTTTAACAATCAGACTTGGGCATGGACTAGAATCCTTCATTTTAATGGTGGATAAAACTGGTAAGAGTTATCGCGTTCACTATGGTGTAAGAACATTTACGCTTTACACAGGGAAAAGAACTTGGACAAAAGAACATTTCTTTGGTTTAAACACGTGGAAGTTTACCGAACGTATGTCGTGGTATTTAGTTGATGTTTATGTCTTCTTGACAGGTAAATGCTATGTAGTTTTAATTTTACTTGATAAAAGTAGACATTTTGATACAATTATGGGGCAAAAACTTTACAGTGAGGCATATTTCTTGATATTTCTCTCTAACATTTCTTGATGAGCAAATCAAGCGCGAACGCGCGAGTGTCCCACGTTCTCGCTCCGCGAGTGGCCTTTGCTTACTCGCTAGAGAATATTCAGAAAGGTAATCTTTCGAATTTTCACTTGAAAAAACGTTTTTGCAGAGAAATAAAAAGTGACATGTCAAGTTAACCTGGAAAAGATAAATTTCCTTACTTCTTTAGGGTTTTAAATTTATCATGCATAAGACTAAGGAGTCAATAAATACGCTCCTATTGGTACATGATAAATGAGAGCCAATCACCTGGAATGTGCATTTCCTTTAGTTTTGAACCGGCGGTCCTTCCTTCATCCCTTTTTCTTTCCCCAAATTCCTAGCCTGCGTAGCGAGCGTTTCCAGTCGAGTTATAGCGCGAAATTTGCAGGCTACCAAATTCCCTCCCTTCCTATCCCCTTTCGGCGCCTGCCACGAATGGGTCAGCGGACTTTTTACCTAGTGAGCGGTCGCTAAGCCTTACAAAACAAGATGGCGGGAAGATCTACTTACCCTGGGGTTTTATGTCACTTCAGTTTCGTTTACGGACTTTTCCTCGACATATGATCGACCGACTGAACTGATGTCTTGAGCTTCACAATCATCCTGTTGGGCAGGGCTCAGAGGTAAGTGATTAAGACGAGATAACTTTCCAGGAATTCCCCCGGGAGGCACAGGTCAACAGGCTTAAACCTCGTCCAGTGTCAAAGTCCGTGTGATCCTACGGTGTAATTCTGTGGAGTTTACAAAATTAATTTTCAAATATTCACTATAATGATCATAGGTCACCTTTTTAGATCTCTAAATTATTTTAAAGTTATGTGATAGGTCAGAGAATGATTTCTCATGCACTCCAGGTAAATGAATTGTGGATATCATTCATTTTTCTCATTTCAATTTTTGCAAATGAAGTTTGGGCTCGTGAGTTGGAGAACACTTCAAGAAAACACAGAACAGAGCGTGTTAACTAATATTGTCACAAAGTAAGAAAATACGGTTGTACAGAATATCATCTAAAAGAAACACAAACCAGTGCATGCTAGGTTATATTATCACAAAGTAACACAAAACAGAGAACGCTCTTTTGTGAGATTTCAAGTAAACAAAGAACAGTGTGTACAGATTAATGTCATCTCAAATTAACTGAGATTTTTAAAAACGTTTTCCACAATGCATCTAAACACACTATTTTCGTTTCTTTTTAGGGGATGAAGTGGAGTAGGGTGGAGGATGGTAAACACTGGAGAGAAACTATCTTAACTGGATCAGATTTTCTTATAAATGGGTGAATCAACTCTGTTTGTATTGTTGTTTTACTCTATGAGTGACTGTGAACGCGTTTGCGCCAAGTCATTTTAATTACGTGTACGTGGCTCATATTGAAAGTCCAGTCTGCCTTTAATGGAAAAGTTTTACTGTTAAAAAAGCTGGAGGTAGCTAGTTCACCAGATCATAATCAGAAGCCAAACTTCCTGAGGGGATTTTGGCAGGGATCTTGGCCAGAATCTTGGCAGGGACCAGTCATTTTGTTACAAATAACATGTAGTCGTGGTGAGTCATGGGACTCGGTCCTGGGACTCATTTCAATGTTAAAAATCATGAGTCCAAGTTAAGCACCAACGAGTCCCATTGAAAAAAAAAACCAGTGAATCCGAAATTGAAAATGCTTGGACCTTTACATGTATAGTGAAATTAAATATACATGTAGTCCTAAAAGGCCAATATAAATATGCATTTCATATTGTTATGCATTACATGTTTATTATATGAACAGGATATTTCTACAAAGATACATGGATAGATAGATTGCTCTTCATGTCCTATAGGATGCATGCTATGAATTATATTTCAATTTTTAAGGTTTTTTTGTGTCAGGGTTTCAGGATGCAAAGGTAAAAAAAATATCTGAGGGACCTTTGCGTGGATCTTATCAGGAATCTCAACTGAGACTCTGTACAAGGATCTTTGTGGGAATCTTGACAAAATTCCTGGTGCGGGACTTCGCCAAAGTCTTGGGGAAAATATTTTTGGCAACCTTGCCATTATTTGTAGCAGGGATCTTGGCGAGAATCTTGGCGGGGACTCTTTGTGTGGATCTTGGCAAGAATCTCGACTGGGATTCCCTCATAATCATAATCATTAGGCGTAAAGGGTATATTGTTGCTTTGGCTACCTTCTTATAACATTACAAGCCCCTGCATTCTGGAAGTTATTATTATTCCGCAGCATCTCATCCAGTTGAGTATCCATCATTGTTAGTAATACTTTTGCAGTCAACTAATGCAGGGTTCATAAAGCACTTAATTAAAATCATGTTTAAACCCCCCTGGAGTTTGAGTCGATAAATTTGAAACACTTCTGACTTTCACTTTCAATTTTGCATAAATTATCAAAAATTATGTTAAGCGGGAAATCTACCTATGGTTCGCAGGAAACAAAACTTCTATAATGGCACAAGACAAATGTTTTGAGAGTTGAAGATGTGTTTATGAACTATTCACCAAGCGACGAAAGGAGATCTTAATGGCTTGGTAGCCCATGCACATGTAATTGTAATTTTGTCAATCCAGGTTGGGTTTTTATTCGCTCTAAAGTGCATGTCTGGCACACTTCTCAATACTTTCACAATATGTTGTGATAGGTGAGTAGACTCAAGACTTACAGCCGTAGTATCGCCAAGCCATTCTTATTTGTATGCCGTATGTTCTTTGTCTGAAAATTCTAGCAAACAAACATATCAAATAAAACTGAATAGAAGATGAAATTGTCTTCCTTAACGCAGCCAGATTATATTCTGCAGGACGGCGGCACAATTCAATGTGTCTTTCAGGTCAGCACTAATTTATACATGAAGAAATTGCAATCTCCCTATTTTTGCTTAAGCTTTCTTGGATTAAACTTTCATAAAAACAAAACATCACAGACATTCTCCTGCATTCGCTGAGCAACCATGAATAACATACTATTGAATTCAAGGAAAACCAAGGATATGTGGATCTAGTGAGCCTGACCTTGTACAAATGAATGATTGGTGTTTGGAGAGGGTATCCAAGTTTAAGCTACTGGGGGTATGGCAACAAGACAATCTACATGTATGTTGGAATTACCATGTTGAACAGACAGTAAAGAAAGCTAGCAAGAGATTTTATTGCACTAATGCCTTTGTGCTAATGCTTTTAGTTTGCAACTCACCCAGGTATAAACTTACAGCCACAGACACAAAAAAACAGCCGTCTTTCCTTTTGACCGAAATATTGTCGCTAGAAATCGTATGTGATTCACAGAATCTGTTATACATGTTTTCATAGAATCTGTAATATAAATGCCATGCTATTAAGGGTTTCATTTATGGCATTTGTGTCATGGTCAATACTCAGGTATTGATCATACATTTTGACCGCATCTTCATTAGGTGCAATTATTGATTTACTGAATTTTAATTATTTTTACCACCATGGTTGTCCGTGATTGGTGTATTTTGAACCACGCCCATTGTTTTTAATCCAAAGCATTGTTGGCATTATAAGAGGACGAAACTGTTCCCTCGGCGGTTCGTTGTGGTAGTCAATGGCTGCTATGTTGTAGGCATCCATGCTTCAGAAATCTCAATTCCACTGTCTTTATTGATGTGGTTAGGGTGACGTCTTATGTGAATAGCCTTTTTAACTTTACAAGAGTACCAGTGTTATTAGTGTGTTCAGAAAGAAACTTAAAAATCTGCTAAAGTTTGAGTTTGTGCAAGCGGTATATATCCCTATGGTGCATCTTAATCTGTTCATGCATGCACTTCCTAGTGTTTCACTATTTCGTTATTTTTGTATCACGCCATATTAGTCCTCATTCATTTTTTTTTCAGTTGTTTTCAAATGAGATGTGTCACAAAAAGAAGGATTTTATGAAACAATTTAATTTACAGGTTTCATGCTTTGAACCTAAGAGTAGAAATGTTTTTCCAATTTCCATTCTTTCTTTTTTTTCCTACTACATGTGGCAAGAACTTAGCAGTTATTCTATTTTATTGCCATAAATAAAAATAAATGGTCAACATTTTTAAAACTTTTAAAGAAATCAGGGCACAAAAATGGTGATCTGTTTTTTAATTAAACATTCATTTACAAGCAAACTCTTTTTAGCATCCTGATCTGATTTTACAGGATTTTTAGAGTACATCTTACAAATACTGATAGGATCCCCATAGGATCTTACAGGACTTTTAGAGTACATCTTACAGGATCCTGATAGGATCTTACAGAATTTTTAGAGTATATCTTACAGGATCCTGAAAGGATCGTACAGGATTTTTAGAGTATATCTTACAGGATCCTGATAGGATCTTACAGAATTTTTTAGAGTATATCTTACAGGATCCTGATAGGATCTTACAGGATTTTTAGAGTACATCTTACAGGATCCTGATAGGATCTTACAGGATTTTTAGAGTATATCTTACAGGATCCTGATACGATCTTACAGGATTTTTAGAGTATATCTTACAAGATCCTGATAGGATCTTACAGGATTTTTAGAGTTCATCTTACAGGATCCTGATAGGATCTTACAGGATTTTTAGAGTACATCTTACAGGATCCTGATAGGATCTAACAGGATTTTTAGAGTATATCTTACAGGATCCTGATAGGATCTTACAGAATTTTTTAGAGTATATCTTATAGGATCCTGATAGGATCTTACAGGATTTTTAGAGTATATCTTACAGGATCCTGATAGGATCTAACAGGATTTTTAGAGTATATCTTACAGGATCCTGATAGGAGTCTTGCAGGATTTTTAGAGTACATTTTGCAGGATCCTGATAGGATCTTACAGGATTTTAAAGTATGTCTTACAGGATCCTGATAAGATCTTACAGGATTTTTAGAGTATATCTTACAGGATCCTGATAGGATCTTACAGAATTTTTTAGAGTATATCTTACAGGATCCTGATAGGATCTTACAGGATTTTTAGAGTATATCTCACAGGATCCTGATAGGATCTTACATGATTTTTAGAGTATATCTTACAGTATCCCAATACCATCTTACAGGATTTTTCGAGTATATTTTACAGGATCCTGATAGGAGTCTTCCAGGATTTTTAGAGTATATCTTACAGGATCCTTATAGGAGTCTTGCAGGATTTTTAGAGTACATTTTTTACAGGATCCTAATAGGATCGTACAGGATTTTTAGAGTATGTCTTACAGGATCCTGATAAGATCTTACAGGATTTTTAGAGTACATCTTTCAGGATACTGATGGGATCTTGCAGAATTTTTAGAGTATATCTTACAGGATCCTGATAGGATCTTACAGGATTTTTAGATTATATCTTGCAGGATCCTGATAGGATCTTGCAGCATTTTTAGAGTATATCTTAGAGGATCCTGATAGGATCTTATATGATTTTTAGAGTACATCTTAAAGGATCCTGATAGGATCTTACAGGATTTTTAGAGTATATCTTACAGGATCCTGATGGGATCTTACAGGATTTTTAGAGTACATCTTACCGGATCCTGATAGGATCTTACAGGATTTTTAGAGTATATCTTACAGGATCTCAATAGGATCTCACAGGATTTTTATAGTACGTCTTACAGGATCATGATAGGATCTTACAGGATTTTTAGAGTACTTTTTACAGGATTCTGATGGGATCTTACAGGATTTTGAGAGTACTTCTTACAGGATACTGATGGGATCTTGCAGAATTTTTAGAGTATATCTTACAGGATCCTTATAGGATCTTACAGGATTCTGATAGGATCTTACAGGATTTTGAGAGTACTTCTTACAGGATACTGATGGGATCTTACAGGATTTTGAGAGTACTTCTTACAGGATACTGATGGGATCTTGCAGAATTTTTAGAGTATATCTTACAGGATCCTTATAGGATCTTACAGGATTTTTAGAGTACATTTTACAAAGTCCCAGATGCAATGCTAAAATTCTGGTGAACTTGTATTTAAATTCCAAGCCTAGAACTCGGAGGGTTGTGAGTTCGATTCTTACCTGGAGCTTGGAAAATTTTTTGTGCTTTCTAATGTTTGAATTCTCCTTCTTCTTTCATACATTGTAGTGTAATCTCATCTCAAAGTAACAAGTGAAATTTTGGAAAATGTTTGCCTCAATGCATCTAAACACACTATTTTTGTCTTTGTTTAGGGGAATAACAGGGATGAAACAAAGAATTGTGGAGGATGGCAAACTCCTGAGAGAAACTCTCCTAACTGGATTACGTTCTTTTGTAAATGGGTTAGTTGACTCTGTTTGTATTGTTGTTTTATTCTTTGAACAACTGTGAACATGCGCACCCTAAGGCATTTTAATTACATGGCTCATATTGAAACTCCAGTCTGCCTCTAATGGAAAAATTTCACTGTTAAAGTGCCCATCACCTAAAATTTTTTATTTTCTTATCTGAAACTACACTTTGTTAAAATAACTTCTGCGAAAAAATTTTGTGATTTGAACCAAAGACGATTTTTTTAGAATTTTTTAAAACGTTCAAATTTGCCGCCATTTTGGCACACCATTCGTCTTAGTCTTCTCTCTGAGTGTGACGTTTACGTGACGTACTTTAAGGAACATGTGACCTTATCGACAGGAAAACATTAAGAGTTCTGATAGGTTTTTCTTTTTCAGAAAAACTGTCTTCTTGCGAAGACATTGTGATTCAATCCTTACCTTGTAATTGATATTTTTTGTGTACAGCCGGTGAAGGCAAGGTAATGCGAGTTCCTTAATTTACGTCATATGTGAGCCTGGTAGTTTGCCTGATCAGCGGCGCGGGTGTACCGCAAAAATGTAGACTTAAAAAATTGGTAAAAACATCACGTTTTGTTCAAACCGGAAAATTTTTTCGCAGAAGTTATTTTAATAAGGTATAGTTTCAGATAAGGAAATATAAAATTTTAGGTGATGGGCACTTTAAGGAAGTTGTAGCAAGTTCACCAGATCATAATAAGAAGCTAAACTTCCTGAGGGGAATCCTGCAGAGATCTTGGCCAGAATCTTGACAGGGATCCACCCTTTGTGTGGATCTTGGCAGGAATCTTGACTGGGATTCCTTACAAGGATTCATAGTGGAAATTATGATAGAAATCCCGGAGGGGAACCTCACCTCTCTGTGGGAATCTTGCCAAAAATTCCAGCAGGTATCTTCGCTTTATCTACCAGCCATATTTCTAAATTTGTTTTTGACTAGGTAACTCAGAGTGTCAATAAACCCAGATATAAATTCCTGTTAGAAGAGTAAAACATTCGATGTCTCAAGAAAGAACACCTACATGTAAATTAGGAGGAAACTTTATCATGTAAACGTATTTTCCTTTTTTAAGCGAAGAAATAGCTTAGTTAATTTGAATGTGTTGGTGTTGTGAAACAAGAAAGTTCTATGCTTAATTTGCAAGCTATTCCTAGTACCATACAAACATCTGTACAAAATTAACTGAGCTATTCATTTCTCTGCTGGCTTCTTAACTAGTAAAATTGTGTTCTAATTTTTAGGCTTTTTTTCTGGAGGCATTGATCTGTCTTCTGCATTGGTGGGAATTTAAGTCAAGAATGTTTATTTTTAATGGAGGTTTTCTCTGTGTTCAGTTTGAGGCACTCCATTCAGCCCTATCTTAATGCATTTCAAGAAAACTCCAGTCACTGTCTTTCTGAAAGTTTTCTGAATAATTTTGATTGACGAGGGGAAGCTGAAATTTCCAGTATCCTTCTTAGAAAAAGTTAATTGTATCACCTTAACACAGCTTTTGTCTCCATTTAAAGGAATATCAGGATTGGAATGGAATGGAAAAATTGGAGGATGATAAACACCAGAAGGAAAGTAAGTTGGTGACATTTGCATTGTATTTGTTTCATCTTGCCTATACTCTATAGCATTAAAAGCTGCTTTGCAGTCTGATGCTGTCGCATAATCATAATTATGTCACATGTAAAAACTAAATTCACTGTCTTTTTTCCTGGCACTTATGTAGAGAAAGTGACAGAAAGAAACTGGAGCACATTTAATGGGGCTTAGTCATGGCTTTCAGGCTCATTTCGTTAATAATGCCAATTACAGCACTCTTATAATATTATTCACTATGGAACTTCTAAAATTGCTTGTGAATGACAAGACCTCCCCCCTACAACTGAAGAAGAGCTGACTTTGTTCATCCTGGTTTTTTCATTTTTCACCATTGGAAAGCACTGCCCTCACTACACAGGACCTAAACTTTTCGAAGCAATTTCTTCTTTGGGGCCTGGAATATTCTAAAGATTGTTGAGATACTGAGTGCTAACTGTTAAAAGTAGCTATTGATTTCAAGAGTATCAAATCTACTGAGGGGGTAGTGGATGGGTTAGAAAAACCCAACCTTGGTACAATGGCCACCCATGACAGCCAATCATACCTAAAAATAGGGGACTATTATATTGTCTAGCAAGAGACCAAATTCACCAAGTTGTACAATGCCCTTGTGGTCTTATTTTCCCTCTATTTTTCAAAACAATAGACTTGAAATGTCTGACATTGAAGTGTTGAAATCAGATTGCTGTTGGTCATAGAGAGGCAAGCTGGGGTTCATATCAGTAGGTGAGTAATTGATTATCTTTGTTGTCAGAAAATAATCCCTTATTTTTGTCCAGTTTCGAATTTGTCACTGCCATTAAATAGTAGGACTAAAGACTCATTTATACATAGCCTGCAAGTAAGCTCTCCTATCTGGGTGAGCTGTGCGAGAAGGCACAAGCGAGCGGCGAAGCCATCAGGGGCCGAGGAAAAGAGAGCTTGCAACAATGTCTCATAAATTTTCATTTGTACTTCGCCCAGACAAAGGGAAATACCACTGGATGAAAAATGACATTCCGGAAATCAAAGTTGATTGATAACAGGCCTGGCTGGCATCCCCTAAATTTTGTGCCAGAAGTAGAAACACAATGCTCTTATCGCAAAAACCCATGTTGTGTCACACTCTGAAATAGAAGACCTGCATAGGAAGAAAATCGCTTTCTCCATCTGTGGGAGATAACCATCGTTTGTGTGTTAAATTTGTTTCTCAGGAGAATCAGATTGATCACACTACTATTACGAAAAATAATGAGAAGAGCTAACTGAGTTTTTGTGTCATGAATACTCAATCTCTAAACAACGAGGCTGGTGAATTTGCTGATTTTGTCTGCAAGTATGAACCTGATGTTGTAGCTATTATGGAAACGTGGTTCCCGCACTCTCTGTACGTCTCCAGGGTACAGCCTTCTTGACCATCCATGATCTAACTGCACTGGGGGTGGTAAAGGAGTCTTGTTCATTGATACCTTAATTGTGACCAAAATTGCTGCTGCGGAATTCCAACCATTTGAGTACTCTGAATGGAACATCAAATCTGAATCCGAGCAGATACATTTGATTATCATCTACAGACCACCATACTCTGAAGTCCATCCTGTAACTACGAGTGTTTTCCTGGAAGAATTTTTAGAATTCCTTGAGTCTACAGTCTTCACTGCTAGCCATCTCTTGATTACCAGAGACTTCAACATTCATATCGATGTTACTTATGATCCTGATGCGCTCAGTCTACATGACCTACTCGAGAGCACTGGGCTTGAGCAAGATGTTACTGTTCCAACTCATATCATATTGTTCCTCTATTCCATGGACCAACTATCTCTTCTCAGGTCACTTACCAGTCCACTGTAAGCTCAAGGCTGTCAAGTTTTCTTTCAAAAGATCACAAATTTCCTTCAGGAAACTGAAGTCAATCAGTGGTGATATTTTGCAGGATGAGCTTTCTAGCACTGATCTCTGTGAGAACACCCTCTCATATGACCTTGAAGGCCTTTTTAAATTCTATAGTAATACGCTCCTGTCAGTCCTTAACCACACCATGCACCTTTGATCACTAAACTATAAAACTGTACAACTGCACTGAGTAGTTTTATTTCATTGACTTCAATGACCACACTGTGTTTTACACAACGGTAACAGTGATTACACTGACTGCATCAACTTCACACTCTGTCTACACTGCAATGGAAAAACTATCGTAAACTTTGGCTCACCAATACAATCTTCGAATACAATGAGGTTGATTAAATGATTTTTACTAATTTGGTTAATAACACCAACTACAAGTATCCCAAGTACACTTAACTACACCAACTGCACTGACTACATAGACTACATGAGTACCCTGACAACATCAACCACACCTACCTAACCACACCAACTACACTGACTGGTAACAGTGACTACATTGACACTGTGTACACTGCCCACCCCACTTGGCCACTACACTCAACTACAAAGACTAACCTGACTACAGTGACTACTTTTTCCCCACCAACTTCAATAACTACATCTATTTCATTGACTACAGTGACTACACTGATGACATGAACAACACCAACTACATTCACTACACAACTACAAAACTACAACGACTACACACTGACTGCACTAACCACATCACTACACCGACTATACTGACTATACTGACTTCATTGACTACTGGACTACACTGACCACATGACTACACTGTTTACACTGACTACACCCCCTACATCACCTAGATACTGACTACACTCAACTACAGTGACAACACTGACTACACCAACTACACTGACTACATTTACTACACTAGCTTCACTGAATACATCTATTTCACTGACTACACTGACTACTACCTTAATCATACACAACTACACTGGGTACACTGACTAGAGCTACTACACAGTACATTGATGACACTTACTGCACTGACTACATTAACAACACTGACTACACTGAGTACTACCCTAACCGTAACAGTGACTACACTGACTGCACCAACTTCACCCACTATATTGACTACACTGACACTACACGGCCTACCCCACCTAGCCACTTACTACATCCAACTACAAAGACTAACATTACCACACCACCTGCATTGTGTAGCGACTGTCCCCTAGCTACTTACTACCCTCAAATGCACTGACTACACTAACTTAGCCTGTGAACAGGCCTTTGGTTGAGCGGGGAACTAGGGAGAGGGAAAAGCAAAAAGGCCTGTAGACAAACATTTGGGACCGCCGTTCCACGGCACCCGCTGTGCATCAGATCCTGATGCAAGTGGAAATAACAAAACACTTCAAAGACTGTTCAGAAGCTATTAGCAAGGGAGGAACTACGCACTCCAGTCAAAAGACTCACACTTTCTTTTGAGACACACTAGGCTGGAGTTTACCGAGTCACAATGTAATTCTCTATAGTTGATGTAGCTCCGGTTTAAGCTGCACTTAAATCTTATAACTTTGGATCTGTAAATTACTATCCGTGATAATTTTTAAACATTCTGCAAAGAAAACTAACGAGCTAGGCCCAGCGTGATACAACATTTCAGAAAAACATTACATTCACTGACTAAAGAAAATCGCTTAGTTTTTCAGATCCAGAAGGCACTTTGGAGAAAAGTAAGACCCTTATTCAGCGGCAATAAAAAGCTTTACGATTCAAAAGAGGTCAAAGAAAATCCTCTTGCATCAGAGGGCAAATCCTGCCGACCAGAGACAAAAACCACAGTAAATCGATACGGTATGCCATGACCTCTCAGTGTGAAACAAGCGGCTAAAATCACATTTGCTCAGTGAAAATGTAGAACCTTCCGGAGCATAATCTACCCAGAAGAGGAAAAAGCTTATGGGAACAAGCAGCATTTTGGCGTGAGGTAAACGCCGTGTAGGCCTACCACCCCCTTTTATTGCTATAAATACGGGATAAATACCCAAAGGTGTAATTCCCGTCGGTGATCGAAGCGCTGCTGATCTCTTTGCACTTACGGTCTTTGGAGGTTCATGTTCTGGAGAAGTCATGATGATTAGAATCCGTAACTTTTGCATTCCAAGTTCGCACATTGCAGGGGCTTGTTAAATTAGAAACTGAACTAGCAAGACGAACGGCCCGTCGCGCACAAGTTAAGCAGCTTAAATCGGAAAAGCTTACTCCTTGTTCAAGGGGGAATCTTGAGGATTCAAATGCTTGCGCTAGTACAACGCTGTCTTGGCCACTGTCAACCAGCAAGGTCTTATTTCTTGAAACGCCAAAGACCGGCACCGTATTAATTCTCTTACGGGAGATTTTTTAAAAAATCAACAATTAGGCTCGCAGTCCATTTTACTTTGTTTTGAGACGGAGCAAAACACGGCTCATTTCCCATTAATTTTCCCAGGAGTCACTCACGTGCAAAATTGATTGACAGATAACGAGCTTACTGACAGATGTTTGGCAAGATAATTACAAGAGGGCGGAATAGTGGCCTCAAATCTTTGTCTACAGGCTCTCTCCCCCCCTTTCCCTTCCCTTTCCTTGCTATTTTTTTCCCCAAACTACATGGCCTTGATGCTGACTATGCTTACCAGCAACAAGTGCACTGACTACATGACTACAATGGCTACTTTTAATACACCAACTACATCTATTTTATTGACTGCTACTGACTAAACGGATGGCGTGGACAAAACCGACTACGCAACAAAACTACACTGACTGCACTGATTGCATTACTACGCTGACCACACGACTAGACAGATTACACTGACTTTACTGCCAAGATTACCTTACTATTAACTATAGTCAACTACAGTGACCACACTGACTACACTGACTAAATTTACAATGCCTACTCCAATGTCACTGAATACATCTATTTCATTGACCACACTGACTGTGACCCTAACCGTACACAACTACACTACAACACCAACAACACTGACTAGAGCCACTACACAGTACATGATGACACTTACTGCACTGGCTACACAACTTCACATTACTCACTCGTGAATTAATGTTCTTCAACACTCGAAGACAGAATTTTGTATCTTTGCGCAGCGACGTAATATCCTCTATATGTAAATGTACAAGGAGGAGATATCCATCACCAGAGGAAGGCACCACACTGAAGCAGTCAATAAAATAGCAAACGCACCTAATAATACACTTACCAAAGGGAGGCCATAGAGGGAAAAAAGAGTTTTAAAATTCTGCAGGCAAAGAAATTAAGGTGATTCCCCAGTAAAAGAACCTAACATAGATTGTAGATGAAACTTGGTACACTGATGTAACAAGTCAAGAAGATGATAAAAAGGTAATAAAAAGTGGTGACTGTGCTCGTTTTGACGTCACAATGCTGACAAATACGGCTATTTTGGACCCTTTGACAAAAACCATGCGCAGCGCAAAACTAGACAAAAAGGAAAGATTTTTTCAATGATGCATGTGGTATCGCACAGAATTTGACTTTAATGTATTGTTTATCCACTAACGTACCAGAAAAATGCCTTTTAATGCCTTTGTTTTTACTTTACACTCCAAAGTAGAGTTAAATTGGACACGCGCTATTCGACACGTGATAGCTCAATCCGTACAATTTAGTAAAATTGCCAAAAAACTGAACATAGATTTGTGCTAATTTTTTTCTTACCGAAAGAAAGCACTGTCCTTATTAAAATCATGAAATAAAAAATGGGGGTCACCATACTCGTTTTTGCGGTAGAGCTGCAGAAAGTGCGCACCAAATGCATTTTCCTCAATTTTTGAGAGAGGACTGGGGCGAGTTTCAAAATAATTCTGTAAAAAATCTGTTTTTACAGAATTTACATCGAGATATCACATTTAAGACACAATGTGATAAAGAAAGCGTTTAAATGAAAATCAGAGTGAATAAGCACAAATTAAACATCCACTATCGAGGTTCTCTGTGAGGAAGTCGAACTCAGCAACACGCGTTATGCTTACGTTATGCACATTCCCACCACATTGAGTCTCACCTCGGCAAGAAACAACCGCAAGCAAAAATTGCAATAGCGTTTCTCTTCGGTCAACTTCATTTTAATAATGTTACTTCACATGCTCTTTTTTACGGAGGCCATCTTGTTATGCGCAGTAAGAGATGCGCAGTGCAAAACCAGGGAATCACCTTAAACAAACTGCAAATATCTCCCTTCAGAGTGCTCATTGGCTACTGATTCAGATACTACACATTAAAGTACCGTCATTTTTTGTAAACATTATTTCTCCAGAATAACGTTCATGTTATACACCTTTGTCTTTTTTTAAGAAAAAAATGCTGGTAATGGGAAATGATACATGTTCAGTTGCAAGTTGTATCAGAGTTCAACATGTCCATATGAGAAAGCTTGACAGGGATAGAAGGACCTAATAACTTTCCAACTTCTGGTAGGTTCAACCCATAAACCCCAATGGGCACCACACTAGGCAAGGAGAAAATCTTTTGACCTTGGTATATTTGCACCCACAACCTCCAAGTTAGATCTGCTGTTGCTCTACTGATTATTCTGTGAGCCCAGCGTGTAGAAAGTCGTGGGTAATTTTTGTGGCATATTGCGTAGAATGTAGAATGTGTAATACTGATCTATGCCATGTACATTGTTAGCACCATGCAAATGAAGAAACATACAATTATCTCTGGAGTGAAAATTAATCAAGAGCTAAGAAAAATCCTATAAACCCCAATCAGCACATTATCGATACTTTTTGTATGTACCCAACCTTAATAAAAAAACACTACTAAAAATCATATTTCAACATTTTGTTATCCTTTCAGAGTACCTGTGGCTGCCTAACTGCTGCAATTGATGTAAAAGCTGCTGTTAGTGGGTATTCTTAGCAGGGATTTCACTCTCAGTATCAATAAGTGAGTGCTTGAGTTTGCAAGTCTTCATCTTCTTAGATTTCTGCTATTTTCACCATTGTTGTTACCCCAAGCTAAAATTATATATGCAGACAGTGGGAATCCTGGTTTCGTTGTGAACTGATTTTTTGTGGAAATTCGACGGAGTGTATAGGCGTTGAAACGTATTTTGC